AAATTATTATTGTGAAAAAATGAATATTCAATGATGTAATTAATAGTTCCGTGTCAGCATGACATTTACTTTATCCAACTCGGTAATACGAATGTAACTCGTATATGGTGTATACAAACGCGAAAACGTACGCCGTGATCATGACGTATTACGTGGTTTATGTCATACATCATAGAAGTGCGTCGTTGCTAGATCTATTTTCTTCGTCTTGATTAAGTTATGAAGTTTGTCAGTTACTTACAAAAGCCTGCATTAATCCGTCGACGTTGCTAACTGTGTATATGGGTATCAACCCTTTATCTACTTTCGTGCTTTTTTTGTGATTCCATAATATCCGTTCCTTCATCATTTGACCTACATAAAACAAAACGGTATATGAGATACAACAATATCAACACGTGGTGATGAAGATGGTAGGTCATTGTAAACAATAACTGCAAATATAATATTTTGCAAGTACATATCTACAGAGATGAATGGAGGTTTTTGAATTGAAATGTTGGTACCAGTGTCCCTGATGACGTAACTTACCTCTTGAATTCAGAAAAACCCGAAATCTTTGGAAATATGATTGAGACATGTTGATTCGTATTAAAATAGATTATAGACTCTGTGAGATCTGATTAAAATAGAATGTGTAAACACAATGTTGGACACTTCTTTTATATCTCCACTTACAATCGATTGCCACGACATAACGATTTGTCTGGTACTGTCTACGTCACAGCGAATATTATCGGACATTGTCCGCATCATAATATGATGTGATGTTGTCTATATCGCTTTCTTATTGTTGTCAAACTAAATAATGAGATATGATGTCGCAAATGCGTGGAAACAAGTATTCCATGGATTTCTCTGTAATTGTCTCCACTGACAAGCATATCGAACGTAATTGTACTTGGAATGTACACGCGCCTGCTCTCGGTGTACGCGGTGATGTTCTATTGTACGCCAATCCGTAGTTGCGAACAATGATAGGCGGTAATCGTAGTCTTTGGTAATTATTCAATATAACCAGACGTTACGGGCAATGTACCGCTCTTCAGTGGAAGGACTAAAGTGATAGTCTACTACAATTTTCTATATATTATATTAATCGGTCTGAGCAGCTTTCTCAATTTTTTAGTTTCAGTGGCAGTTGCGTTATGTGGCGCAAGTCATAGGTCATTGTTTTTTTTAAGGTAGAAGCCTACTCATAAATTAAAAAAACCCAGAATTTATTCATTTTGCAATAAACTGTACGCGAAGGCAATATAAGGATATTGACCTAAACAAAGTTTGGGGGTCACCAGCCTTATTTTCGAAAAGAATAATGGTTGTATTTTAGTGGAAAGTTGCCATTTTGACAGTATTATAACACTTTTGCCATAGGTTCATATGACAAAGATATTATGCCATATCTCAAAATCTAACGTGGTGACATAAGCTGAAAAAATCATATATTGCTGGAAAATCAAAATATCTAAGGATTCTGATTTGAGACGTTTAACGAAATGGACGCCAAAACTAAAAAGCGAAAGCATTGGTAGATCATGAGCTGGTATCAAAAAAATAATTGGTTAACCATCTTTTCCCGTCCCTTGGGAAATGTTACAGACAATATATTTTTTTTCAAACCTTGGCGCACGTTCGCCAATTCTCAGTACCTCGAATACAAAACGCGCGCGTCTTTGGAACGCATTCTCTGTGTTTTGTGAATTACATCACAGGACGTAGTCGACATTTGCATAATTCGAGCGAAGAACTGATCGACGTTCTTCCGCCGAGTGTGTTTTATCAGGTATCAATTTGTAAGAGGTTGTCCAAAATATGTTGAAATATTTGAGAATGTAAATCTTATTATAACTTAGATAGAGTACCACTCGGTTTAGGCGCAGACAAACGTGAAATAAAATTAAGTTCACGATAGTATTAAGGCATAGTAAAAGTCGCATATTAAGTCCATATTAACTGAAAAAAACACAGGAAAAAAGAATGCTGAATAAAAAATATACTTTCGCGGAAAAATAACACTTTATACGAGCAAATAATTCCCATTTCGGATTCTCGGCCGAGCGAGGATAGTAAGAGTTGTATTTCTAGCATTACTGGTATGTTTATATATTGGTCAACCAGTATTCCAAAAATGTTGATGAGTTGATGTTTTCCAGTGACGTGTAAAAAAATATACAACATAAGTTTGTATGGAGTTGACAAATTAAACGTAACAAATATGTTGAATACGCCATTTCTATAATTTTATTCGGTGAAAATAGACAACACACAGAATGGCAGATATGACTCCAATTCTATGATGGCT